GTCCACTGCAGGGTGGGTCCACTACAGGGTGGGTCTACTGCAGGGTGGGCACGCCGCGGGGTGGGCACGCCGCGGGGTGGGTCCACTCCGGGGTGGGTCCACTCCGGGGTGGGTCCAATCCGGGGTGGGTCCACTCCGGGGTGGGTCCACTACGGGGCACAGGCAGAGAGAACATCCGTCAGAGAAGACGGTCAGAGTTGCCGATGACACAATAACAGACAGGCAGGACGAGGTGGGTCCCAGGCTGGGCGAATGAGGCAGGGTTACCCCCCATCTGTCCGTGCCGAGCAATGCAGTAGGGAATCAGGTGAGATCTTGATTTGAAGCTTTCGTGACTGCAGGAATCCATACTTCGGTAAAGTCACGTAGGTGAGAGTTCATTGCGGGTACGGGAGCGACCCTCAGTGATTGCCTCCGGGGGTGCGGTGGAGATTATGGTGGGGGGGGGAAGGGGGGTCACGTGGGTTTGTTGAAAGGGCCTGGGGAGAGGTTTCGTGTTTCAAGGTGGGTCCCCCAATCTTTGTGTCTCCCCCGTCCTTTGTTGCTCGGGATCTCGAACAAAAGATGCCGGAGGAGTCTCACCTTGCACGCGTAGGGAAAGATCTGAGAGAGAGAGAGAGAGCAGCAGCAACAACAACAACGAAAGCCAACGCACGTCCATTGGAATGTACAAGATTCGTATGGAGCGGCAGCGGTGCACTGCTCCAGGTTGAGGAGGGCTTCGCTAATTCCACCTCGTGTTCTCACAGGTGTCGGGGAAGGGCGCGTTCCCGTGGATCTTGTAATCTGACGGCGGTGGCAACTTACTTAAGATAGCCATGAGACCTCCCCCCCCCCCCCCCCCCCAGAGTCTTGGACGGATGACAAAGAAGTTCACAGACTGGTACAGAGTCCCATAGACTCGCACAGAGGTCCATATAATCGCATAGCGGCCTTGACTCGCACAGAGACCCGTGGAGTCACGTGAAGAACCAGAGACTCACGAAGAGAGACCCACTGACTCACACATACGTCCATAGACTCGCGAAGAGACCCCATAGACGCACATAGAGACCCCATAGACTCACAAAGAGACCCCCCATAGACGCACATAGAGACCCGTAGACTCACACATTGAGTCACATGATCGCGATGATAGGGAACTGGTCAGGTGGGAACCCAGCAGTGGTGAAATCATCACCGGCATCATCTTCATCATCAACGCACGTGACCTTTGGTGTTTGAATCGTCAAGGAGTCCACCTGCACGATGGGAATATCTATACGGTGCTGGAAGAGTCGAGACGGGGCCTTCTATCTGGAGCCAGAGACAGACACTTAAAAAAAAAAACATAAATGGGAATATACACAGGGCCACGTGATATAAAACTGGTACATTTGTGGTGATAACATTGCAGCATTTATCGACAAATCGGAAACTGAATTTTGAACCTGGCCACGGTCATACCTATGGTCAGGGGTGGGGAACGTCCGACCCGCGGGCCGTACAAGGCCCGCGAAATCATTGGGTCTGGCCCTGCCAAGGCAACCGCTGGCGGGACTCGAAATTCAATAAATCTAGGAGCAAACCTGGAAAAGCAATTGCGAGTAGCAACATCATCAATACCAGCGAACATCACACGCCTCGCCAAAGAGAAGCAGTTCCAGCCATCACATTAGGGGTGAGTTAATGAAATGTTTGACCGAATATAACAGGCTAATTTTTAAGTTGATATTTTTGTATGGCCCACGAATGATGTTATATAAATATTCAAATGGACCTTGGCAGAAAAAAAGGTTCTCCACCCCTGCCATAGGTGGTCGACACGGCCAAAATTTAATCTAAAACGTCTTGTAAAATTAGTTGTAATGTAGTGATGTCATTATGGGGGAGATAAAGGCGGCCGGGTGTGAGTGCGGTTGTCCACGCCACAATCTATGCCGGTGTTGGTCGTGTTAATATCGCGCGGTTAGCGCTACGCTGCGCTACGAACCTGGCGGACCCGAGGTCGATTCCCGCTCACGGCCACCAACACCCAGTGACGATTATCTGAACCGCTCATGGGCCTCCCCTAGGTCGACTCGGCCTCAAATTAGAACCTGGTGTGGTGTGTAAAGATCGCCACTAGGGAGACAAAGGCGGTCGGGCGTGGTACTGGCCACCCCTCCTCCCTCGTGTGCCGTGCCGGCCTTCATAGGTGCTCGCTCACAGCACTTGCCCCAACAGTGTGTTAACGCTATACGGGGGATCTTTGTCGCCAACACACATGCATTCTGTCCTGTGTCACGTAAAGACAAAGACACACACACTTTTATACTGGTAGGAACCACCTGGTTCCACCAGTCTCCGTACGTCCGATTTTTGTGTCCGTACGTCCGTCGTGCATCCAAAAATGGGAGGGGTCGGGCTGGGTGGGGAAGGGCTGGGTGGGGAGGGGCTGGGTGGGGAGGGGAGGGTGGGGAGGGGCTGGGTGGGGAGGGTGGGGCTGGGTGGGGTGGGCGGTGGGAGGGGTGGGGCTGGGTGGGGAGGGGCTGGTCATCCCGTGGTGCCTTTTTAAAACTCAACGTTTAACCTACTCACGCCGGCTTGTGCCCGCCCTCACAGTCGGGCATATTTGCGGAATACACCACGCCGCCGTTGACCCTGGCCATTGACCGAGAAACCCAGCGGTGCTATCAGCTCTCCTCCGCAGGAATGTGTTATAAATAGACACACAAAAGACAAGGATCCCCCGAAAAGCCTTAACAAACTGGTAGGGCAAGTGCTGTGAGCGGGTACATATTAAATTACACGTGCAAATACGTACACATCGGCACGCGCACCGATATTGTTGATGAGTAGAGATGATGATGACATTGATGATTAGGTTATAGGTGAATACTGATACGTAACTTGGTTTTGATGACATTGATGCATTTTTATGTAATTATCCAAGCCCATGATCATCATATGACGACTGAGTAGCGTGATTATGTTGCCATGGCAACGATAGCTGATGTTGCTCCTGAAGACGCAGATTGGTGATGATGTGAGGAGGATTATGTTATTCCTGTCGGCCTAATTATTACGTTATAAATTATGGTTACGATGGTGATCGTTGCTGACGATGGTTATGCGGGTTACATGATAATGAATTATCTTGATAACGGATGATGATCATGATGATGATGATGGTGGTGGGAATGAGTACACCACTCATATCGGTCCCCCCCACTCCCCCGATCCCTATGATTCACCTCAATTATTCCGCGGATGCACACGTTGAAAGGATGCATAAATAATTAATTAAATGCCTCGGAACATAACTACTGCCCTCGGTGAATTAAAACGCGCGACCTGCAAGCGCCGTGACCGCTCAGGACTTCAACTGCCCCCCCCCCATTCCCCTCTCCCGTTCCTCCCGCCCTCCCTCCCCCCCCCCAATTGCCCCCCCCCCCATTCCTCCCCCATTCCTCCCGCCCTCCCTACCCCCTCCCCGCCCTCCCTACCCCCTCCCCACCCCCCTCCCACTCTCATCATCCTCATCAACCATCATCAATGCACTGATGGACGACCCAAACCTTTGCCACCTCCTCACTATTCTGCTATGTAATTATCCATCCGGCACCCACGCTGGTGGAGTTCCATTTCATCGCTCCGTCTCCGTCTGTCGACGTCCTCTCTGCAGGATTGTTGTTTTTATATTTACATAGAACCAGCTACAGTCAATCCACTGCTGGATGAATGTGTCCTTCGCAAGCCGCCCCAGTGCTTGCTACAACAACAACAACAAGTGGCGGTGACGTCACCACGGCGCTTGTGCCAAGCTAGGTGCATTTTCAGGCCACGTGTAGTGTGCTAAGGCTCGCTGGCAGGATGTTACAGGTGCCATGGGTTGACTGAATGAGATGTCAGCTTGCCATGGCATATCGCTCAAAAAGATTGAACAGCAGAGAACTCCCATCCCACCGCAGTCAACACGAACCGCCATCGGCAAGCAGCGAGTGGCCTCTCCCATGCTCTCCGCCGCCACTGCACGAATCCACTTGTCCCACGCACTTTCCACTGGTCGCCCCCTCCCCCTCTCTCCAAGTCCTCCTATCCCCTCCTGCCCCCCCCATCTCCCTCTCTCAT